CGTCACCTCTTATCTGGACAATGGCTGAGGGGGCGCTCTGGACTATGTTACGACTTTCCCTTAAAAATTCAATGTTTTCACCGCCTATATGTTCAAGTATAACGTCTGTTTATGTTGCTTTGCTGTGGTAGGTTTTTTTGATGCCTCAAATCGTGCCCTGTCTAGGACATGGTGTGAGAAATCTTTTTTTTTTTAATACAGTCTCTCCTCATGTTTTCTTCCCTTTTCTCAGCTAATATTATTCTGAATAATATAAGGGTCGTGCTTTCATAGTAGCAGATTCATGCACTCCGCCCATCTTTCGGACGACTGTACGTACATGTTCTCGTTGCATCTCGGTGCAATGATAATAAAGTTTATTCTGATTCTGATATGCAGCTTCACTGAGTGATGCTGTTTCACCATGGAAACAATTCATCCTGTATCTTGAAGGGTTTTTCTCATTCAGCCCAGGCTGGGGTCATATCATCTTAACCAATGTTTTGTAACAGAAATATGAGTGGCATAAATTAGCTACATGAAGATCGGTGGAGATAGAACACGTACTTTTCTAAGTAAATTAAGACAGTTTGTATTCATAAACAACGGCAATCCGTGTGACCCAAAAGTACACTATGGATCGTGCTTCCGTAACAGATAGGGGAATGACAGTGCTGCAGCAGAGTCCGTCTGTCCTCCTCCTCTCCAAACACTGTCCCTCCTTAGCGGCGCTGAACACTGAAAAACACCCCTACTCCCCTCCTTTCAGACCCCCCCAATCACTTAGGTGTGTGAGATGGGGGGAATTCCAGCTCACATGAAGCTGCTGAATTGATCCATTCAACAACAGAAATGATCATTTATTCAACATAATAAACAAGAAAATTTATTTCATGGTCATCGATGAAAAACGGCTTCAGTGTCAGCTCAGTTGAGAACTGCATGTCTCGCGAGGATTTAAGCATCTTCTGCCAACACATTCAGCGGTGCACCCTGCGGACAGTGCACATTACGCATAGGAACGTCTCCAGACAGTTCTACACAGCACGTGCACAACTGCTGATGTGTCTGAACTCCTACATACATTTTAGACATAATAAATAAAAAAGCTTACTGTAAAAAATAAATTAAAAATACGAAAGAAATTTTGATGTGTTATTCACATTACAAAACAATGGCGCTTATTTGTCAACAGCAAGCAAAATGTCAAAAAGACAGTCCAATTTACATCAATAAAATAAATGGATGGATTGTCTGACAACTGAGAATTGAAGCCTTCAGGTGCTTCAAAATTTGTCACGTTGAGACTGTCCTGCTCCATAATCCAGGTATACAATCCAATGTTTTTCAGTCAGGTCATCTGGACAGTTTCTTTTTTTTGTCCTGAAACGTTTCACCTTCGATCCGGAAGGCTTCATCAGTCAAGGAAACACACAACACAAAACTGATTCTTCCCCCAACAGCTTACTCCAAA